AGAAATGACTCAGCCCGTAACTGAAAATATGGATGGAGAACAACAGAGCTGCTTCATGGAAGAAGAACCTCAGCAGTTAAAATAGATGTTTATCAAATAATGTCTAATGTTACAACTAATCAGGGATCCTTTTAATATTTGGAGACAAACCAGTTCAAAATGGCCACCAAAGCTGATTGTCATTAACTACCACAATTTATTTATTTGTTTTTTTTCTTAATCTGTGTCAAAGATACTGAGACAGATTTTGTGTGACCTGACTTTATTTCCCAACATTTTGATAACCTGTATTGTTATTTTTGTGCTGAAGTGTGTTTTACCATTTTGCATGCATTTTTTTTGGACAATCAAAGTAAACATCCTGAACAATGATTGGTCAGTAAGTAATGAATTTGACTTACTAATGCATTCATACATACAGTATTGTGTTATTGTGTTTAGTCCATTATTTTGCTGCTCAAATTGGCTAAAATCATCCCACATAATCTCTTCTATTGATGGATGGTTTTGTGGCTCAAATGTTTTTTTTTTCTCTGTACATTCAGTGTGAACTGCAGGACAACAGGGACCAGTGAATCATGTTCCATTTGCAGGGATTTATGTGTTCAATAACTGAGAGAGTTGTGTTGTTCCACCCTGAGGACTTCATTATAAAAGAGTAATCACTAATACTTTACTAAATGGACCTCCTTCAGGTCCCCTGTTGTCTTTTGTACAGTGGCACATTTCTTCAACTCTTTGGGGTTTTTCCAGCTGGTGACCTTGAGGTGTATATAAGGTCCAAAGAGTCGTGTCCCACCGATGACTAGCCGAGACACCGCAAAGAGAGAAAACCAAACCACGGTCGAGACGAAGCCCTCTTCTGTTTTGGGAGCCTCACCTGCAAACAGCATCGGTCTCCAGCTTCAGATCATGGACACGGCTGCAGTAGTGACTCTTCTGGCTCTGATCATGACGATGGCTGGAGTCAGCCAGGCTCTTCGAGTCCAAGCCGGTTTGGATAAAATTGACTTCCAGCCCGGCAGCTCTGAGGAGAAGATGGCTGATCGCCTGCTGGGGCTGGTGAGACAACAAATCAAACATCTGAATTGCAAATTCTCCATTCCAGTTATCCATTTGGTGCACTTTGAGTCTGACTTGCTCAATTTGCTTTGAAATATGCAAATATATGCTACTGCTGGCTTAATAAAGCATCTATGAAAACCTATTCCTGTCAACTTCAAAACAACTTTGACATCGATATATGACAATCAAATGTCGAGCTGTATCTTCGGCACATCATCATGTGTTGAAAACATTTAAATTTAAATATAAACTGTTGCAGTAAACAGAAGTCAAGCTAGCATGTTCAGAAGCTGACACTTTCACGTGATGCAGAATTTAAATGGAAATTGAGCTTTTTATTATGTAGATTTCAGGAAACACCCTTTTTCATGCAACAACATGAAATATGTGGTTRTAAACACAGACGTTCAGAGCTGGATATAGTCTGATTAAAGGACAGTGATTCGGACCACAATTTAAAGATGTATATATATATTTATGTAGCAAACAAAACAGACAATTCTGGTTTTGCTTTGCATAAAAATCTGACAGAAAAGAGTGAAGTTTTTCACCTTTGTGCACCGACATCTACATTTCAAGGTCTCTTGCAACAGCAGGGCAGAAGTTGTAAGAGTCGGGAAGCAAAAACTGACGGGTTTCTAAGCTTTCAATTAATTACAGAAAACAAGCTTTGCACCTTTGTGTGTTTGTGTGTTTGCTTTAGGAGGGTGAAAGCAGAGACGTCGCTGATCATCTGCTGGCCTCGGTGTTAAGATCTTTGCTGCTGGGATCCCAGAGAGGAAGCAGGGAATCTGTTCTCCACCAGCCACAGAGGTCGGTACATTTACTGTATAATGCTTTCACCTCAGCCTATGTTTATTGCCTAAGTAACTATAGGTGGAAAAAAAACTATCCCCCTTTTAACGTCATTATAAACACAATTCATTGTCACATTCGGTCAAAGCTATTAAGAGCCGCAGCAGAGGAGCTGACGAGCCACATGCAGCTTCAGAGCAGCAGAGGTTCCAGAGACCCCCTGCCTTCAAGGCTCCTGCAGTTTGGAGTCTGATATAAAAAAAAACATTAAACTATTTGCAGCTACTCCCATATCTGCATTTTAAAATGGCACAAAGTGGAATGAGTGCGTACCATTATTACTCATATCACAGAGATGCCCATTTGGATAAGTGGTGGAAGAGGTAAATGCTCTTATTACGGTAAAAATGGGAACATGCTTTTGCCTGTGTGATCTCAGCCATGGAGGTTTAAACCTCAGACTGCAGGGTAACTTTTCCTCCTAACTGTAATGCTGGAGCTCGGTTCCGTGAAATAAAATTTGTTTAATAAAATTAAACACACATCTGTTTTGTTTATTTGTGTCTTTTGTCATGAAAAGAAAYACCTCTGTTTGAGTAACTTTACATTTTATGGAACGCTTCCAACTGGAATCTTTTATGTAAGCATTTTATTCAAAGCTCAAAAGCTTTATTGCTTATTCACTAACAAAATAGTGTATAATATATAAT